CTTTCTTCGATATGGTTTCAATAAAATTTGCTGAAACTTTGTATGCTAGATATATAGCACCCACAGATGGCAGTGTAATTCATTTTTACGGACTAGAGACTACGTAGAACCCAGTAGACCCCGTTGAAATCTATGACATCATGACGTTTGGTGCGGGAGCCTCGAGGTGGCGCTTCCACCCATTTCTTTTTTTGTTCTTTCTGCACATTTTTTCACACACGAAGAGTCGTGTCGCGGTAAGAGTGGTGCTTTCGGGACTGTGAAACAGAACTTTACTAACACGCGAAACATCCCTTTTTTTTCATTAGGGGGCCATTTAGGTGACGTTGGAAAGCGTTGAGCGTTAGCGTCCGGCGCATAACTTCGATTTCTCCGCTTACGGCATGCATGAAGTACAAATAATCTAAATTTAGGTCCGTATTTCAAGCTGAACAATGTAGAATTTATTAGATTGAAAGGCTGCAGCTATTCCAAGTGTATGGGTTTGGTTTCCTGCTTACGGCGTTAGACAAGTCTATGCAATGGAAGTTCGGGGTCTAGATTTGATTACGTATTCCTTGATCACTCAATTGAGGTAAAAAAAAGACATTTCAACGTGTTGTGTCGAAGAAGAATTGCCCACGGATAAGTTAGAGGGTGTTTAACAAAGAGTTGTGGTGTGCGAACGTTTCGCGATATTCCAGCGTTATTCATAGAGACCTTGCTGCAGCGGTGAAGTATGACTACATCGTGGCAGTGGATTTCTATGAAAAATCTAGCACTATTCGCACTTCTAACCACGTTAAGTGTTGTGACCCGGCACCTCCTTTCGATGAAGTACCGCCGGGACATGCCAGGCATCGTCAAGGCCAGACCTCTCCAGGCAGTCGCATTCCACCAAGACCACGCATACCACGTCTACGTATGTATATTTTGTTTTATTATTTTTCCAAGTATTAGTATTGCGTAACGTTATCTATGACCAGTGGTAAATGGCTGTGTTGGGCACATTATCTTCTCGAACAACGCCCTTCAAGGCAAGGCGCGCACCATATGCGTGAATGCATACCGGCAAAACGAACGCGCTACCAGGGAGGACCGCAAGAATAAATTAGGCGATTTTTAGGCTCAGTAATTACAAAAAATTGGCCCCGTATCTGCATGGTAATCTGCAAATGTCGTCGAAAGACGATAGTTTTGCATGTGGAGAGAGTGAACAAAATATTACTTTGATGTTCTGCGCAGGAAAATCGATGAATGGTATTTTGGAGGTGCTGCGTTAGAGTGCCTCGAGCGTGCAGCGGAGGCGAACGAGCGCATCAAGTTACGTCACACGGGAGACATGAGCGCTGTCTGGCAGTTATCTTTAAAACAAAAACCGCGGCTCTGAGACGGGCGTGCGCACTCGTCTCAGAGGTGATAAAGTGTAGAACGAAAGGCGACGCTAGGTGCCACCGCTGTCTCGTCTTAGCAAAGCGTTGGAAACACTGGCCTTTTCGTGCAAGCGTTGCATCGTCAGCGCAGCGGGATAAACGCTACAGTCCTTAGAATTTGTTATGTATGCCTTTTATAGTAAAGGACGCACATACAGAATATATACGTGTTGTTATGGTGCGTCAGATATGCGCAATATTGGCTTTTAATTGACAATCACACAAGTATGAGCGCTGAAGCTTGAGCAACGTTGGTGGACGCTGCAGATGGGGTCAGCCATTGGGTGTATTGATTGGTGCCGTCCAAAGTACCCAGATCTCGGTACCGTTAGGCGCGGACAAACAGACCAGTGTACAGACAGACAGACCAAAAGTTTTGCGTCGATGGTCCCCAAGAAAGACTATCGTCTTTAGAAATTGGCAGATCTCACGTACAGTGGGAAGCGATCATATGCGAAGCACGAATGAGGAAAGCTGATATTACACTTGAAAATCAGCACAACGTTACAAGACAGTGGCAAATTATGCCGCACATGACTTCCATGTCATGATTATCACATTTGCACGCGTCATTACCTTCGACATCTATTCACATCATTTCATAGCAAATTGGGTATATGTAGACCTAGCGAAACAGCCGCGAGTGCGCTATGATCGCAGCATGCAGTCATGTTTTAAATGACACGCATATCATGTATATCATGTTTAGACCTGTCATTTACATTCGTCATTCATTCATGACATTTATTACCAAATTTGGTGGAATTGTAGCTAGTAAAACAGCCGCGAGCACGCTATGAGCGTAGCATGTAGTCATGCTTTACATGACACGCGTCTCACGATTATCATGTTTGGACGTGTCATTTACGTTTGTCGTCTGTTCACGTTTACGTGATATCAAATTTCGTATATTTGGAGTTAGTAAAACGGCCGCGAGCGTATCATGAAGGGCCCGATATACTCCGATCTAACGTTGACGAGCGCGTACACGCTGGCGAAGCGACGCTACTCTAGCATAACGGACGACAGGCACGACTGGTGCGACCAAGGTCCGTCGGCGCGTCCCGGCGGAAACTGGCGCTCAATGCAACATGCAGCATTTCGCGCCCATGGCGTTACCCAGCTCTACCCAGACAGCACTGCGTCTGCCTCTCTTCGTGACGGAGGGGCGCCGGGCGCCCTCAAATGCGCATGCGTCAAAGCAACGCGGCGCGGTACGCGCCTGCAAGCATATGGCAGTCAGATCGGCGCCTGGCGTGGCATCGCTGGCCAGACGCGACAAAACGAACGCCGGTGCGCACGCGCACCGTGTCACGCCGAACTGTATTGGCGCCTTAAGTGTGGCATGTAGTCATGCTCTTACATGACACGCATCTCATGGTTATCATGTTTGCACCAGTCACATACCTTCGTCATACATTCACGTAACGTAATACCGAATTTTCAATATGTCAAGCTAGCGATACGGCTGCAGCGCATCATGAGTGTGGCATTTAGTCTTGTTGTTACATGACATGCATGTCAAGATTATCATTTTTGGACGTGTCCTTTACCCATGTCATCCATTCGCGTCCCGTAGTATCAAACTTGGTATATGTGATGATAGCGAAACGGCCACGAGCGCATCATGAGCGTGGCATGTAATACATGACACGCATTTGCACTGATGATTATCATGTTTGCACCAGTCACATACCTTTGTCATTCATTCACGTCCCGTAATACCAAGTTTGATAGATGCGAAGCTAGCAAAATAGCAGCGAGCGCAGCGTGAGCGCGGCATGTTACATGACGCGCATGTCATGATTTTCATGTTAGGGTCTGTTGTTGTGTTATCCAGGCAAAAATGCCATACCGTACTAGTTTTGCAACATGCCATGTGAACGAAACCACCGCAAGAGCTTCAGGAGCATGAAATGTAAATAATGACAAACATGTCATGATTTTCATGTTATGATTAGTCAAATATGTTCTTCATACAGTCATGTTATGCCATACCAAGTTTGGTATTGGTACCATTATCAAAATGCTAGTAGAGCTTTTAAAGTCGTAAGCGGATAGATAGATAGATAGATAGATAGATAGATAGATAGATAGATAGATAGATAGATAGATAGATAGATAGATAGATAGATAGATAGATAGATAGATAGATATGCTAAAAGAAAGTCGCCAAAGCTCGCTAACAAATGCTTCGCATTTAATATCTGGGTAATCACGCCCCGACACGGCGTTGTGATCATGAGACGCTGTAGTGGATGATTCTGGAAATTTCGACCGTTTGGTTCTCTTTAACGTGCAATGACACCGCACGGTACGCTGGGTCTGGCTTGTCAAATTCATCAAAATATGACCGCCGCTGCCGAGATCGAACCCACAACCTTCGGCTCAGTAGCCGAGCACCATAAGCACTGCTCCACTATGGCGGGCCATTCTCTGGTTCGCTGTTCACCTATTGTCTGCTTAACTGTACGCTAAATGTCCATGCTTTGTTAACTTAGTTTAATAAAGATTGCTAGACGTTAACGTCCTAAAACCATGATATGATTATTAGAGACGCCGTAGTAAGAAATAATCGTTGTGATTAAACGCCCCAAAACCATGATATGCATAATTATGGTATAGTGGGTATGGCGTAGGGGTGTTAAAATGTGCACCTACATCTAAGAACATGGCCTTAAACCATTGTCACCTCCATCAAAATGTGGCCACCACAGCCGAGATTCAATCTCGCGACCTGTGGATCAGCAGCCGAGCACTCTAACTACTAGACTGTCGCGGCGAGTTTAACTTAGTCTGTATGCACTGATAGGACTCATACGGAAGTATCAGCCAGGCTTTATGTGATGCCATAATCACAGCGGAGCATTGGAGATCATGAACTTTTGACTGCCAAATAAAGAACTCCTAAACATTAGTGAAATACCAAAAAAACGAATAGAAAAGAGATTCATAAAGGAGCTCAAACGTCGCAAATGATCCTTCTCGTTGTAGGGAATATTTCAAGATTAACAACATGACAAGCCTAGTACGAAGGGGATTTGAAAGGAAAAGTCGCTGAAGCAGTTACCTTGTGCACCACCTTGGGGCACATGGCTGCGCACTCGCACTAAGAACTAAAAAAAAAAAATTGTCGTGTGGTGTCGGCAAGTTGTATACGAACCTGCATAATATGGTATGTGGCGGTGATGGCTACCCCCAAGCCTGTATTTTTTTTTCCGCGAGAAGTTAGCGCAAATTCGCTGTTTTCTTCGGGCGCGGAGTTCTATGACTACACTCCATTGACTCGAACTTAGGATAGAACAGAAAGCGTGCAACATTCTTACAAGCATATACAAGTGCCACAGCTAGTTCCGCCAAGTGCCCACTTTTGAACTCGTTTTGTCCCTATTGCGCATCCCTTTTCGTAATTTTCTTGTGCCACAACGTTTTGCTGGGTAGAAAACGCAAATCAAGGGCTTAACAAGGCGCTGTAACGATAAAATATTTTGAGGGGCTGTGAATAGAATATTTTGAAGAATTCAATTTTGTTAGCGCTGCTGTCTACATCAAAATGTTATGTTCTACGTTGTTCCATTGCAGCGGCGCCATATAAATTTGTACCACCTCGTATAGCACGTCGAAAAGGAATGCTTCCTTTTGATCCAGGTATGCATTTTCCCTTTTGCGTGCTTTGTCAACTTTTATTGCGTCATACCTACGCCTTACACCTCACTGAAGTGGGAACGCCTCGCAGAAAACCCCAGACAACATTTCCCCGGATTCCCCGAGCCTCCCCGTGGGTATGGAGGAAAGGACCGGGTGCCCACGCCGCCTATACGAATTCTAAGTACGTAAGTTCCCGTTTCATTGTTGCTGCGTTAAACTCTATGTGTGCGAGGCGTTCACATCCGATGGTCTCACTGCGACTCTCTCAGAACAGCCCACACCTATTCCTTCACATGACGATAATTCACCTGGTTCTCCGGACTCTCCAGACGACAAAGGTGTATAAACTTTGTTTGCCTGTTAGATATTTGTTCTCACTCCACAGTTCAGGGGTGCTCCACGCCTGTCTAATATACAACGATCGTCTTTACTAACAACACCTGGCGAATTATTTTGCAGAATGGTCCCGCACGCACGATAAATTTTATCTAGGACGATTGGACAAAGCACCCGCGCCGAAGCTTCGTGAGTCTCTGGACACATTCCTTATATGTGTTGTTACGTTCGCCTGCTTGTTTTGATTATTATTGCTATATCTGTATATAGCGGCCTCGATGATCTGTCATCATTCTGCGCGTTCTCTTGCAGCCAAACCGCCGAATATTCCCAGGCACGCCACCCTCGTGTCAGAAAGCTCAGTTTCTTGGAGAACAGCCGCTTGCAACATTTGCCAGTGTGTATTTTTATTTTTGCTTGCGTGATATTGCTACGTGCCAGTGCATTTGCATTTGCATTACATTTTGCTTAGGACGGTACCATTTTATTGACACAGCAAATGGCTGTTAAAATGGCTGGTCGTTCTTTTTTTTTCTAGCCACCTGCTAGACACAGAGAGATTATTTTCAAAATATATGATAGCAGTTAGAGTTATAATAGAATTCTTGTAGGAATTCAGACGGAAACTGGCAGGCAATTCAAAAAGATTGAGATAAAAAAGGCCAGCCTAAATTAACGGCACAAGATCTTTTTAACCATCCTTGGTTCTATGAAGTTGAGGGCTCGAAATATTTATGCGTACGGTACACTGTAAGCAAAAGTTAGCCGAGATGGGAGTTTCTCCAGCACATGAGCCCACAAAACTCCCCTGCCCCAATTATTTACTCCCTGGTAGGGAATGAACTCGGCACAGGTCATCGTAAAACGCCCCCTCCTTAATCACAGAGTTTATGAACGACATGGCCTTGTTAAACTCCTCAGAGAGTTTCAGGTCACGTGGTTACAAACTCCCTATAGGAGCTTTAAAAACCCTCTTTTGGCGTGACGTGTGTGTGTGTGTGTGTGTGTGTGTGTGTGTGTGTGTGTGTGTGTGTGTGTGTGTGTGTGCGTGTGTGTGTGTGTGTATGTGTGTGTACGGGCATATGTTTGCACGTCGGTGTGAAACACATGTGCTTTGTCTGGCTAACCGTGTAAGCATCTGTCAACAGGCAACGAATTTATAAGTGCAGCGAAGAATAGCAACGACCGGTTGGTATTACTGGGAACATTTCAATATATTCGCACCGTTAAACCACGCTGCACATCGGTCCGATTCCTCAACGAAACGTCGTGAATTACCGCGCTCCAAAGGGCCGAGTAACAAAAAACTTCGAAGAATAAATTAATGGTAGCAAAAGTAAGCTGTTACGATCGTCAGCGGCTGTTCCTGGAATTTCACCATCAGAAACTTCGAAGTGGTCTGAAGTGGGCTTCGCTCGACTACGGCAGGCTGGCCGGCAACCGGTCTGAGAGTTGCGCCGGCGACGCGCTCGCCCGTCTTCGCCGATAGTGGCTTCTCGGAGTGCCGCCGGTATTTCACTGGCTGTAACATCTAAGTGGTAGAAGGCCTCGCTATGCCGTCGGTACTAAGCCGGCATCGTATCGAACTCGCACTGCGCGCCGGCCACCGTGGCAAGCGCTACGAGCTAGCACCGACCACCGGCGATGCAAAGAATGTGTTTCACAAAAAAAAAAAATGAAGGCTGCTGGGATGTATAACAGTCTTCTGCGCCTTGCGACCGCAGCTGTCAATGACTAACTGCAAGGCGAGCGTCAAACGAGGTGGAGTACGATCGTCAGCGATTGCACCGTAAAACTTCGAAGCGGTTCGAAGTAGGCTTCGCTCGACTACGGCAGGCTGGCCGGCAACCGGTCTGAGAGTTGCGCCGGCGACGCGCTCGCCCGGTCTCCGCCGATAGTGGCTTCTCGGAGTGTCACCGGTATTTCACCGGCTGCAACATCTAAGCGGTAGGAAGGCCTCGATAGCCCCGCCGTGGTGGTTTAGTGGCTAAGGTACTCGGCTGCTGACCCGCAGGGCGCGGGTTCGAATCGCGGCTGCGGCGGCTGCATTTCCGATGAAGGCGGAAATGTTGTAGGCCCGTGTGCTCAGATTTGGGGTGCACGTTAAAGAACCCCAGGTGGTCTAAATTTCCGGAGCCCTCCACTACGGCGTCTCTCATAATCATATAGTGGTTTTGGGACGTTAAACCCCACATATCAATCAATCAAGGCCTCGATATGGCGTCGGTATCAAGCCGGCATCCTATCGAGCTTGCACTGCGCACCGGCCGCCGTGGCGAGCTCTGCGAGCTATACATGCAATGCATGCGAGCAACGGGAACAGCGACTGCGAACCGTCTCATTCGTTCAAGTCTATCGCTCCGTAGCTTAAACTGCGTGGGTAGCGGACACCTATTTCTGTGCATGGGAAAAAGGAGACGTAAACTGCACATCGGCAAGCATTTCGTGATCGCCAGCTGTCATTCATCGAATCGCCGTGCCGTACTCGTGAGTGAGGCCTAGTCGTCGAACGCGGTAGCGGCGGTCTACCTCGGTTCATCGCTGGAGCTGCTAAATGTGCCTCGTTAATGTGTTCATCCAAGGCCGCGCACACTTTGTGTATGATTCCGTGCATTTTACGGGTCCACAAACAGTACTGCTAATGCAAATTCAGCCCGTACGACAGAGCGTAAACTGATGAAACTTTTTCGCTATAGTAAAAAAAAATAATAAATATTAGACCGGCTTAGGATAAAAGGCATGGTGTTGAAGTGCTTACATCTGACCACCGCAAGTTTATACTTACGCCGTGCGTATTTATGCCTAATTAACAGCGGAAAAAAGCTTTCGCCAGGGCTACATGGGAGGTAAAAATGTGGTGCATATATATACCCGGTGACTATTTGGTATGTGTGTACTGCGTGTGGCAAGCTGTGGTGAGTGCGAGTGTTGTGATATAACTTGAACGTTGTGATAATGTTTGTGTACTGTAATCATTGTTGTGCGCTTTAAATGTTGTGTAATTAAAGTTACGCTTGCGCATGGTACGGCTGCTGACGTAATTTTTTTCTCTGTCGATGCAAAAAATTTACTCCCATACTGACCTCAAAAAGTTCTCCAATGGATGTAAATAAAAACCCCCCTGGCACCATGCAAAAACCCCCAACTGATGGGGAGTAAACTTTTTACTCCCAACGGAGGTGTTTATAAAACTCCCATCGGGACGTGCGCTAGAGGACAAGGTCATTTACTCCCATCTCGGCTTATTTCTGTTACAGTGTAGTAGAACGGCTCTACATTAGCGCCGACATGATGTTTAAATTAAGTAGAAACTACGAATAATTTTGTGGGTGTATTTGTGCCTACATAACATTTTCATTATGTCCAAACTCAGTATAACTTTGCAGATATATTAGTTCCTACATAGCAATGCAATTATATCAAAACACAGAAGAATTTTGCATATATTCTGGGTGTGCTGATAAAGCGCACACCCAAAAGCGATGATGATGGTCAGGCAAACTGAATGGTGATAATTACTTTATTGCTGCTCAAATTAGGATAAGTGCATAATAGATGCCTACAATATCAGCAATTATCGAATATTTTCAGTCTTTAAGAACAAATAGTAATTTTCGCAGACCATGGTGCTTAACTGAAAAGAGCAAGCACGAAAAAAAGAGATATGTGACTTCAAAGAAATGTGCTTCTTCACCTTGTCCTTTATTTTTATGCAAAAAACATTACCTAAATAGCGAAGGGACCGTTCTCGAGAACCAATACAAACCGTAAATCTAACTCAAATTCATCGGTTTTCATGCTTTGTGGAATCTCGTTATTATATTTGAGCAACCAGTCTGCTGCGGAGTGCCGTGACCGCGGATGCGAAACAGAAAAGCCTCACCTCATGGTGCTTCGCGCCTGAAAGTTCTTTCACAAGTGCACCGTCTCGTTGTGCATCTGGTGCTATGAAAATAGGCTCCGCATTGTGATTGGCCGAGAAAGTCTCTTAAGAATTTTTTTAGTTTTTACTGTCGGTTTTCTAGACATGGGCCCCGGATTCTACCGATAACGCTTCACCACGAAACAAAAGTACCTTTAGGTATTTTTCCAGCTTGCAGAGAACACGTTATAGATGTACACGACGGGCATGTGATCAATTTTTTTTTCGCTTTGGTGCTACACATGCCGCCAATGGTGTGACGTCAAAGACTTAGGTATTGGAGATTCTTTGACACACTAATGACCAAGTCATCTCAGTTTAGCACGAACATGCTCAAGTGAGAACACGCTCCGTGCATATCGACCGTGAGAGATGGTAATCAACCAATATGATTAGACGTGGTAGACTTTCGCAGACTCGAAATGTTTCCTAGCAAGCGACAAAGTACTTTAAGTAAGATTAAGCTGAGAATTCTTTTGACGTAGAATGGACATTATGTGATTTGATTTTTCAGCTACGTACCGAAGGTCGACTGCACATGTGACTTCTCAGATGAAGTCCTGGCTATACGAATAGGTGTTTGTACGTAGAATTGACATTATGTGGTTTGATTTTTCAGCAACGTAACGAAGATTGGCTGCTCGTGGGACTTCTCAGATGAAGCCCTAGCTATGGATAGGTGTCTGTATAAACACGAGCACTACGGCAAATCTCTTATGAGCAACGATCACAACATCAGCTTCTCTACAAGTTGCGTATCGAAGCAGCACGTGAGCTGTGTGCCCGCATTTATTGAAGAAATTATATCGCTACACACGCTTTTAGTTGTACTCTTGTCCGAAATTTCGCGACCTTACATGACAAAGGTTACAGTGTACATCTGTCGTAATTTCATACCTCTAAAGGCTCGCTACACTGTAATGCCTAAGGGTGACAGAAACATGGAACAATGCGAGTTTTATCCAAAGGAGGTGTGAGTTGGTGGGAAATGGAAGTTCGCACAAATGAAAAATTGATTAACAGCGGGTTTGCTAACAAGCTCCAGCAGACCCTTCGTTCAGGAATTTCGCATCT